ATTTACTGGCTGTTTTACTTCTCACCCTTGCATTCCAGAACAGCGCCATGTTTCTGTTCCCACCACTTTTTATGGGGCAGATGACTGACAAAATGAGCTTACTCTGTTGCCATTTAGATTTATAAACTTATGAGAAACAGAGTGTCAGTGGGCACCAAGAGCTGGGTTCCATCCTGCTGTTCAGGCTTCATGCAGCAATGCACCTCCCAGCTGTTCCTCAGGTGGAGCCAGGACATGCTTTTGGTTGTTGCTATTTTAAAACAGGTTATCTGATAATATCAGAGCCACTCACCCACATCTACTGATGTTATACTGTATATTGTACACTTTAAATATATTATTATTTTTAAAGAAATACAGATGAGAAAACAGATCTCTGAGAGCTTAAGTGCCAAGGTCTACCAAGAAGTGAAACTGAAATTCTGCCAACTTGTGCACTTCTGAGACTCAGGTTCTCTCCATGGGTGCCAGGGTCAGCAGGGCAGTGGCTCAGAGACAGAAGCCAGCTGAGTGTCGGTGACTGCTCAAGTCCCTGCCAGCCCCAAGCCCTGCAGATTCCCAGGGGCCAGCTCTCTGGGTAGGACACCTTCCCACTGTGCCCACACTCAGATTCTGGTTTTGCTATCTTTCATGGAACTGGGAACAATTTTGCACACAAAAGAAGTGATCACAAAATCAACAAAATGACATAATCATATAAAATAAAGTTTTGTCACTATGTGTGAAAATGCCATGCAAAATAAAATGATATTGGTCCAAAAAAAAAAAAAAAAAAAAAAAAAAGAAGTGATCACAGTCTTTGTCTTTCATTATGTATTTTTAAAAAGCCAGCAAACGTAAGCAAATTAAGCCTTTAATTTTGGTCTGAAAAGGAAAAGAGCAATACTTTGACAACCCCCAATACCATAACCTTCAAAAATAAAGAGGGAGAAAGGGGTACAAACCAGGGAAGGAAAATATAAAGAATCATAATTCACTCTAAATTGCATTTTATTTACTGAAGAAGAGCTAGAACCATGCTTGTTGAATAAGAAATATGGCAAAGAGTTTCATTTTTAGACTCCCTGCTATGTATCAGGTGCTGTGGTGAGCCCTGGGGTGGGCAGGGGGCTGTGCTCACATGCAGGGCTGGCCTGCTGGAAGTCCCTCTAATGGCAAAGAGATAAGACGCTAAATGACACCACAGCATTGAGGGGTGGGGACAGAAGGAAGTACAGGAGCACCAGGGAGGGCATGGAACACTGGCTTTTCAGAGGAAGGCCATGCCTAACTCCAGCTTTAAGCAATGAGTAAAATTATCTGGGTGAGGAGGAGTTAAATGAGAAGAACATCCCAGAGAAGAGCAAAAGTGCCAAGGTCATGGTAAAAAGCTGAAGAAGGGAAAGAAGAGAGGCATAGGCTGGAAAGGTGGATCCTGTTTGGGATGTAGGGACTGAAGACCCCAGTGAAGGAGGGCAACATGAAGTTGGGTGTGTGGGATGCTGCAGGGGTGACCTGGATGGAGGTCTAGAGGTAAGCAGAAGTGATGGCTGGAACCATGAGACCATTAAGAGTTAATCAAACCATCCAGGGAGCATAAACAGAATGAGGGTAGCAGATCTTTGAGACTAGAATACCAAAAAGAAGAAGGACAAGGAGGAAGAGGAAAAAGAAGAAGAGGAGAAGGAGAAGGAGGAGGAGGAGGAGGAGGAGGAGGAGGAGGAGAGAAGAGAGAAGAGGAAGAAGAACAAGAACAAGAACAAGAAGAAGAACAGGAAGAACAAGAAGAAGAAGAAGAACAAGAAGAAGAACAGGAAGAAGGAGGAGGAGGAGGAGGAGGAGGAGGAGGAGGAGGAGGAGGACAGCAAGCCCAAGGAGAGAGAGATGGAGAGCAGACACAGGACAGTACAGAGCATGGATACCCAAGGCACAGAACTGTGCCGTGGAAACAGATGGCTTTGCTTTTCTGGCCACATAGAGACTGGACAGTGAAGGCAGTGGAATGGTAGCTTGGAAGGTTTTCATCAGTAGCAAGGATGAAAAGATGGGTTTAGGATACCCAAGGAGAAAACATGGAGCCTGCCCTGTAGGAGGTCTGGATGGGATTGAAGGGAGGTGGGCGAGCAGCCTCAGGGATTGAAAAGTTAATGGACAATGATGACTTGCTTTGAACATACAAGGGTAGATGCCTCAGAGTTTTTCTAGGTGACCTTGAGAAGCCACAAAAGGGGGAACAGCAGTGCAGGTGATACACAGATGGTGTTCTCAAGAATGTGGGGTCACACAATTCATAGACCGTTTGGTCCCTCTGTACTAATGCTCTGCCTCAACTTCCCCAGGACAGTCTCATGCCGTGCGTCAACACACAGCACACCATTCCTTGGACCTGCTCTCTGCATCCTGCAGAAAGCTCGCACTGAAGCTATGGGAAGCAGCAGCTCTGCCCAGCCTCACTTCACATTTCAGAACGCAGAGAAAGGTTTGTGCTTCCCACTCTGCAGCGAGCCACTGGGACCTAGGCCAGCATTGTGGCAGTGGCTCTTTTCAACCCTGCTCTTAGAAACCAGCTGCTTCTCCCTAGACCCTGACTTACTCCACTGAACGATGCCCTTTAGGCAGTTCCTGTTATCCTCTGGGTTCATCCCAAACTATGCCATTCAGTGGAATATGGTTAGGCAAAGAGGAAGTGAGGGGCTGCCAGGGAGCAGGTACAGTGTAAGCAAGGGTCAGAAGGGGTGGAGAGTTGCGGGGCAATCAGGGAGCTGAGCTGATTGCTGGGGGGTGGGGACAGAGGCAGCGTGAGATGAACCTGTGGAGGTTGACAAGGACAGTGAGAAGCCACTGAAGTCATCTAGACAGGGGGTGGTTTTGCCTGGCCCAGAATGAGAGCAGGAGGATGGTAAACACAGAGGAGCCAACAAGAGCCAGGCATTGGGGTAGGGTCAACAAGATCCAAGCACTTCCAGTGGGGAGAGAAGGTGAGTTGGGCAGAGCCTCCAGATTCCCTGCTTGAAGTAGTATTGGCTGTGTGACTGATGACTGACAATCCTGGTAGAGAAGTGGCCCTACCAGGGGGAGAAGTGCCATAACAGGGGAGGTACCATACCAGGGGAGACGCTTCATTCACGCCCAAGGTGTGTGGTGCCCTGGGAACAAGGAGGGCCAGTAGAGAGGGCAGCTGCACACTCAGATCCGGCTAGGGGACAGTGTGGACTGGAAATGTGAGCCTTCTGAGGACGTTGGGGTAAGGTGATAGCTGGTGCTGTGGAGTCACAGAGGCAACTGATGGGGCCCCTGATGCAATAGCAGCAGAAACACTGACACAACACCCAGGATTTGGAGGCGGATTTATTTAACATGGACAAGCACTGATGGGGATCATTCCCAAAATATCAGGCCCTGATCTCTGGTAGTCTAAGGCTGATATGGGATAAGCAAGCAGGAAGGAGAGGCAGAATGGCTTGTCAATTGGTGATTGGTTTGTGCAGTTTGTATCATAGTTTGGGGTTTTTGCAAGGTGGACAATATAGTACAGGACACATTTTATAGTAGTATTTTATAATGAATCACCCAAGAATCACATACAGCGAGTGCAGGAAATCTATCCACACACTGAATACTAAGGAATCCAGCTGAGGGCCTAGAGCTCCCACCAGTCCAGCTGGAGGCCTAGAGTCCACAACAAAGTCTCATGCAGCCCCACTTCATGGATCTGTGCTAGAAAGGCCTAAAAGTCAGTGGTGGAAACTAGGAAGTCTATGACAGCAGGATGAAGTATCTGTGCTAACAGGCTGAGGGATTTGAACTGGAGCTAGGAAGCAGTGCTCAAGGTAAGCACCAGAGCTCCCCCAAAAGTACCACAGCTGTCCTCAGCAACAGTAAGGTCCTGAGCTCCTCCAGTGATGAGGAAAGCCGAGATCCTGTCAGGAAAGCCAGTGCAACAAGCTTCTCCATGAGGCTGAGCAGTGCACCATCTTCTGAGCCAGGAATCGATGCTCAAGATGAGGGCCCAAGCTTCTCCAGAGTTCATCAGCAAAACAAACATGACAAGGTCCTCCAGCAGAACAGCCCAAGAGAACTAGCAGCTTCCAACAGCTCCATCAGCTTCTCCAAACAGCATCCCTAACAGCATTTCAGCAGCTTCTCCTGTTCTGTCTTTATGCTGCTGGCAACAACCCTCAGGTGGACCTCCCACACCCAGCACCACACCAGTTTAATTCAGCTGGGTGTAATAAATTGACCACCTGTTAGAGATCACTGCAGTGTACATCGTAGTGACCAGCTATGCACCACAGTGGCCAGCCACTTGAAGAGAGAAGCAGCTGGAACCAGAGAAGGAACTATTACCTGACAACTAAGAAACTGAAGTATACTGGCTGGGGAGGGGCATTTTCTGCTATACCAGGACAGAGTCATGAGGGACCTCAGCACTGAGATAACACAGAGGGGGCTGAGCTGGCAGCAGAGGCTGAGGACAGGTGGCCCGGGACAGAGGAGGGAAGCAGGGGCATGTGGTGGCTTTTGAGCCAAAGAAGAGGGCTTCAGACCAGCCTCCACACAGGGAGATGCAAACAAAGGACAAGGAAAGACACTTTATATTTAATGACAGGAATGTCACCCAGAATTCACAGAACCAATGTCAAGCACAGGGTGAGGACTGATGGGGAAATGAAAAGAAAGAAAAATTAGTAGCTGCAAAGCACTGGACAGAGTTGGCTGGGGCTGAGGGCCAAAAGCCAGAGGGTGGGCTCCAGTCCTGCTGCAGCCTTTTTGGGCTGTGGCCTGCCTCTCACACCTGGAGGCCTGTTTTCCTCTCTTTGGAATCACAGATATAATGCAGTACCATCTCTCTTGGGCACCATGTGCGTGTAGGTTAGAAAATTACTGCAAGGTGCTCAGAATGTCTCTGGCTCAAGGTGAGAAGTCTGAGTAAGAGTGGTTCCCTTTGGCACCCAGATCTGGGGCCGCTTGGAGGGTGAGCTGTCTGTTAGTTTCTGAGGGATGGGTTAGAGGAGACAACCATGGACCAGGAACTTCATAACCCCAAATTAAAAGAGGTAAAATGTGAAGAGGGGGCCAGTGAGCTAGTTCAGCAGACTAAAGCACCTGCGTAGGCAAGCCAAGGGACCACACTTTGAACCCCCAGCACCACATGCTGCACCAGCCCTGCCCACAGGGCAAGCTGAGATGCCAGAGTCTGGGCAGGCATAGTGGAGTGCATCTGTAATCCCAACACTGGGGAGGCTGGAAGCAGGAGGATTACCACAAGTCCAAGCTGCACAGTGAAACTCTGAAAAAACCAAATACATTAAGAAAAGAAAAAGTGAAATAGCATTTGCCCTATTGGGGAAGAGGTAGCTGCAGGCTCAAGGCATGACAGGGCAGACCTTGAGTGTGGACTTGGTCGTGGCCCAGTGAGTAGAAGAAGGGGCATCTGAGGCAGATGCTAGGCTCCCTCCCTGGTGCACTGTGCTCAAGTGAAGGCAGATAGTAAGGTGAGACAGCGCTCTCCCCTCCTGTGCCCTGTAGGCTGGCCCCTGTCCCCAGTGCTATGTGCACTGCTCTCATTCATCTGCCCAGTAGTCTGTACTAGACTTTGGCTAATCTCCATTTTAGTTTTTGGGGTTTTTTGAACTGTCTATACACTCAGGCTGGTTTTGGCCCCACCATGATCCTCCTGCTTCAGCCTTCTAGGTGCTGGGATACAGGTGTGTGCCTGACTCTAATTCTCATCTTAAAGGGATAGAGTAATTGCCCATCCTGCCATCTTGTGAAGCTCATACAAAACAGTGTGTGTGGCAGGACTTGTAACCATGGTAAACGTGAGGGTGACTCGCTGCTCTGGGAAATAGCAAGAGTCTGCCTGGTCACCCGGGAGAAGCTTGGCCTCACATGAGAATGAGGGCAAGAAAAAGAGAAGGATGGAAGGAGAGGGAGAGAATGTGATGGGGGAGAGGGGAGGAGAGAAGGAGGACAAAAAGAGGAAGAGAAAGAAAAAGAGAGGAAGAGGAAAAAAGAGAGAAAGAGGAAGAAAAAGGAAGAGGGCTGGTCAAATAGCTCAGCAGATTAAAGCTCCTGCAAGCAGGCATAGGAGGTGGGGGTTCAATCCCCAGGCCAGCTGTACTAGCCTCGCCTCTAGGGTGCACTAAGACCAGCAATTGAGACTGAGTGTGGTGGCATGTGCCTATAATCCCAGCTCTCAGGAGCCTGTAAACAGGCAGATCACTATGAGTCCAATCTAATAATGAGACCCTGAACACCCTGTAGACTCTTCCCTAAAATAAAATAAAAAGAGAAAGAGAAAGTGAAGGAAAGAGGGAGAAAGCAACAAAGAGAGAGTGCAATGAGTCCCAGAGGCTGCATGCAAAGCCGAGGCCCTGGTGGGAGCAGCACAGGAGTAGGTGCCTGGGCTGTGCAGGTGGCCCCCACCCTGCTGTCCCTCTCACAGTGTCGTCCTAGACCAGGAGCTGCTGTTCCTCCCTTGGCTGGAATAGTCAGCACTACCAAAGCCATCCTAGTTCCTAGAGCCTCTCAGTGAAAAGATCCACAAGATCCATGCTGTTTAACAGAAACCCACATCATGACCCATTTAGGATGGGAATATTTTTACTTAACAACATAGACGCTATCTGTTTGTTAAACATATTCTTCTATAGCAACATAACGTAACACTATTTATTTTATCCCATATTTATAAATCAGTTTCTGAATAGCAATCATGAGAGGAAAAATATGATTGCTGAAAACCGAAATGTCTTTGTAGTTCTTTTTGCCTGGCCATACTCACTAGGGATGTACAAATGGCTGGATTTTCAAGCTACTTTTATGTGACTAGACCACCAGTATACAGTATGAGGTTTGCTTTTATCTTTGCTTCTGCTTTTTAAATTTCTGATTTTACTATGAATTTGAATTTATAGCTGTGGAAGAGTTTTTTTTTTTTTTTTTTTTACCACTGCTTCACATGTTTTATTTTGTTGTATGTTCTTGAAGAACCAGGTTCATTTTTCCAGTTTTATAAAAAAACAAATAAATGTTCCAGTCACCATCAACTGTCTAATCTTTAAGGCCAATCAATATGTTCCCTGGAAAGATGAATTAGTCTTATGACTCATTTTTTAAAAATTCTTTAAGACCAAAAAAAAAAAAAGACTTTTTTTTATACTCCAAAAGCACAGTATTTCAACACAGCAGCCAACATGGAGTTAAGCAGCTTAACTTTATCCCCTAAATAAAGCTTTGCATAAACCAGTGATTTTACTACAAAAAAACCCACAGTCTTTGAAAGAAAAGAGTGGCAGTGAGTCATTAGTGCAAAACTTGGAATGACTGAGTCATAAACATGGCACTTATACCAAAGGTAGCTTAGTAGACTATTGGCGGAAGTGTTTCTAATGTTACTCTTAGTGTGTCTGAAGCAAGGGAGGTATTTCTAGGGCAACTAATGGCAATGCATTGCTTATTATAATAATTTCTTTTAAATTTAAAAATAATAATAATAATAATGTTACTCTTGCAGCTATCTGCTGCTATCTGACGCCCCAGCCTAACACCCTGACACTGTGGGCAGGAGACACTGCTTGCTTACTTGCTCTGTCTGTCTGTCTGTCTGTCTTTCTGTCTTTCTTTTGAGACAAGGTCTCAGGCTGGCCTTGAGCTCACTTTGCAGTCCAGGCTGGTCTTGAATTCACAACAACCCTCCTGCCTCAGCCTCCCGAGTGCTATGATTACAGGCATGCACCACCACATGGCTGACACCGCTTTCTTTGCTCATGATTCTAGGTCCAGAGTTGGCCAAAGGCTGACCGTGCTCTGCAGGAGCCCTGGGTGGAAGCACTTGTCTTCTATGCCTTCACACAGCCCCTGTTCCCTGGTGGTATCTTTGCTGTCATCTTCCAGGGGCTCCTCATGTCTCAGGCTTCTCGAAACACTACTGGTCAGTCTGAAATGGGTCTTTCCCTACTGCTCAGCTCAGCAGGAGCAGAAGGACCAGCTTCTAAGACCAGAGCCTGGAACCACCCCACAGCATCTCCTCTGTATCCTCTCCGTCACAGAGGTCAAGAGCCCCTCTTGTGGGGGAGGGACTCCCCTTCTTTGATGACAGAAATGTCAGAGAATTTGCCATCACTTTTAAAAGGCCACAATTGCAAAGCCAAGTCTATAAAACATGCACCCAGAGGACAGATCCCTTACCACTTGGCTCCTTCATGCTATCTATCTACAAGTAACTACAGAGGGCTGTTGAGTTTCTTCTTCATTTTCTTAAAAAGATAAGAAAATGGTCTGTTTATGGGTTCATACCTTTTCCCTTTCTTAGATAAATGATAATGTCTAATACACTTTTCTCTACATCCCACTCCACTTAAAAGGTTCTGTGGACTATGCTTAGTAGGAGATGTCTCTACCTCTTTTGTTCCCACTATGCTTGCTCCTTGTCTGAGTACCATTCTGTTCACTCAGCCAACCAGGTCTCCTGCTGACAGGTTTCTGGATGGTTTCCAGTCTTTTTCTGTCACAAATTGTATACAAGAGATCTCGGGTATACAACTGTTCCTGTTGTTAGCTTGTTTGCCATCGATTCCTTCCAGTGTAGTATACTTGCTATGTTCAAAAATGACCATGAATGTAAATCCTGCCAAATGTCCCCCAAGTTCCCCAGCTTTGTTCCCATGAGCACTCTCGGTGACTCTGCCAGGGCTGCATGACAGAGCCCACAGGGTAGGGAGCTTAGACCAGGGAACTGTGCTTGCTCAGGGCTCCAGCGATCAGGCGCCTGAGGCTGCAGCAGGACTGACTTCTCCTGAGGCCTCTCTGATCACTGTGTCTCCACATGACCTTTCCCCCATGCACCCACAGCTGTGTCTCCACATGTCCACGTGCTCTCTTCTTAAAAACATGCCACTTGGACTGGGTTAGGGCCACCATGACATCTTCAATTTCAGTCACCTGTATAAAAGTCCTTTATGCCAACACTATCAGTCTATGGTCTGGGGGACAGGGTTTCAGCCTATGAATTTGAGGGACACAAGTCAGCCTATGACAAACACAGGAGGACATCTGCTTCTTTAGTTTCTTGAACAGAGGCACTGGCAAGTTTTAGATTTATGATCATCTAGCAGGTAAAAATGTGTCACATAGAAGTTTTGTCTCTTTTTATGAGTGGAACATCTTTTCACATGTTCAAGCCTCATGCTCCTCTTCTCAGAACTCCCTTTCAGTGTCTTGTCCATTTTCCCCCTGTTATTCTTTTCCTTCTCGGTTTTTAGGCATTCGTATAGCTGTGTTACAGGACAAGTGTCTCAATCTCACCTGATCTCCAGGCTCTTATATCCTGAACAAAGAACAGAGCAGAACACACAGAAAAAGTAAGGGGAGAGGTTTAATTAAAGCAAAAATACACTCCACAGAGTGGGAACAGTCGTGAGCAATCTCCAGAGTGAGTCTGACCCACAGCGGCCCCATCTGTTGCAGATTCGAGGTCACAGTGCAGTGGGGAGGGTTCCGAGCAGGGCAAGCTCAGTGGTGGTGATGTCGGTAACCAGCAATGGGCTCTAGTGGCTTCTCTTTTGTCTCTCTGGAAGCTGGGAGCAGTTGGGGCTGCACCAGTAAGTACCTGCCCTTGTTCCAATCCTCACGTCAGGAGGGAGTTAGTGAAGTTCTGGATGGAACCCTCACAGCTGCCAAAGCCCTGCAGGGGTCCAAACTGTGATGCTAGATGATGCCTACATTTAGTGCCTACATGGGGTTTCCCTTGGGCACTCCAAGCTCCTCAGACTCCTGCCAGAGGTCATGGAAGGGTGATAGGGCAGGGGCATGTTGTCTAGGTTCATGTCAGGATACCAAGGGGATGCAGTGAAGGTAAAATGCCCTCTTGGTCTCCAAGAGCTAGAGGCGTTCTGTGTGTTGTGAGCCTCAGACCAGGACGGTGCCCACACTGACCTCTCCTATCTCACACAGACATCGACTCTGTGTTACAAATGGCAAATGTGTTTTCCCAATTTGTCATCTGTGTAGGGCCCCTCCCTTTTTCTCTTTTCTCTTAGATCCCTTTCTTCTTCCCTCCCTCTCTTCCTTCCTTCCATTCTTAACTCCTTCTCTTCTTGTTTTGAGACAGGCTGGCTTTGAATTCCCTTTATAGCCAGGCTGGCCTCAAACTGCCCACCCTCCTGCCTCAGCCTCCCAAGTGCTGAGATTGCACCACGCCTGATGCTGGGACCCATTTCTCAAAATTTTTTTACTTATTTATTTGATACAGGGTCTTGCTATGCAGCTCAGACTCATGATCCTCCTATCTCAGTGCTAGAATTACAGACCATGAATGTAAATCCTGCCAGATGTCCCCCAAGTTCCCCAGCTTTGTTCCCATGAGCACTCTGGGAACCCACAAGAGTGCTGGTTTTGGTGGCCAGCACAGTCGGGATTCCAGAGCCGGCACAGCAAGTGGTGTTGGGATTTGAACTTGGGTCCTTGTGCTTTCCAGGCAGGTGCTTAGACCACAGAGCTATCTCTTCAGCCCATGGACCCATTTCTGAGTGAGCTTCAGCTCAGCATTTTCTGACCTTGTGAACAGCAAGTAGCCCACAGGTGGTGCAGGCCATCTCCTGTCTCTCAGGGAGCTGTGCTCGGGTGTCTCACTCCCTACTCCACCTGAGCTGGGAACCAGCTTCCCCACCCAGCTTGTGCCTTCCTGGCAGCCCCGTTTCCATGTCGTGGGTCCCCAGGGCCCTCAGACTCCTCCCCATTGCACTTTGGGAAGCTCAGCTGCAGAGGCTGAGGCTTGCTCAGTAGGTGCTGTGGGGGCCACCTGACCCCAGCACCTGTAGCTGGCTTAGGCTGTGGAGTCCACCTTCACTCCCAACACCTGGAGATTGCTCTTTGTGGGCTATTTGGCTGAACCTGATTGCCCTTTAAATATTGGACTCAGTTCTCTGTTTTCAGTTTTATTTGGAAATTTCCCTGTGTGGCATGCCTTTGGTGCTAGGATTGGACCCAGCACTAAGCATGGAATGCTGTCACTCACCCAGTGACCACAGGCTGCCTCCTGTGGCACCATCTCTGCTGGAGTCCAGGTTTACACCTCTGTAGAAGAGGCCCTGGAGGACACTGCTGGGCCCTCTGTTGCTCCTACAGAGGTTGTGGTTCACGACACTTCTGTTGCTCACCTTTTGCCAAGCTTGTACTTGCACTAGAGAAAGATTTTCCTCCCTAGAGGCATTTTTATTCTTTATATCAATGGTGTTCAGAGTTAGGTACTCTTGACAAGGATAATGGAAATAAAGTATAATCCCATAAACACTGTACATTTTCATAATTTTTCTAATTTATCTGTTTTGGTATGCTCTGCTTTGCTGGGCTTTCCACAGCTCTTATGTATATAGAGGATTTGGTTTGGTTTGGTTTGGTTTTAGCGATTCTGGGGATTGAATGTACAGCCTCCCACATACCAGACAAGGACTCTGCCGCTGTGCTACATTTCCAGCCCACAAGTGGAACTTCTGTGTTTTTTAAAGCTGTTAATATTTTCAGAAGGGCTGGGAAGATGGCTCAATGGAATAAGTGCTTCCCTGGCAAACTCAAGGGCCTGAGTTCAATCCCCGGTTCCACAGGAAAAAAAAAAAGGCTAAAAAAATATTTTCAAAGAGTGGAAACTGGTCATAGAACCCAGTGCCTCCTCTATACCCTGCAAGCACTGGGCCACTGAGCTGCATCCCTAGCTTTCCCTCCTTTTAAAATTTTATTTTGAGACAGTCTTATGAAGTTGCCCAGGCTGACCTCAAACTTGTGATCCTTCTATCTTAGCTACCTGAGTAGCTGGGCATGTGCCACTCTGCTCAGCCACAGTTTAACTTTTGATTTTAGAATTGGGAAACACCTCAGTCCATAAAATAGAGTCAGCATTCCCTTACACACACAGGGTTGACAGCCAGGTGGATTTGTAGTTTGCCCTTTGGAGTAATACACAGAGCCCAGGTATGACCACCCAAGTGCTCTGCACTGTGCTATTGGGAAGAGACGATGGTTTTAAAGGATCTTAAGTGATCCTCAGCAGGGAAGCTGGGCCAGGGGCCCCACATGCTTGGGGCACAGGGTTAGTGGCAACATTTGGGTCCCTGCTCTCCCACCTGGATCTTTAAGGACTACAAGCAGGTCTTGTGCACTGGCACACCCCCTCCTGGGCTCTACCTGCAGAGATTCTGACATCCTAAGCCCAGGACAAAGGGCCAAAGTTCCTGCGAGTGTCAGGAGTTCCTGCTATACACTCCCACCCACAATTCTGGTCGAGGTGGCCAGAACTCCGCAGGGCTGCAGCCTGCCACTTGAGGCTTAGTGAGTGCCTATGAGAAATATGCTACAAATATTTTTATTGGATAGGAAATAAAACTCGGCTCTGCTTAAACCCCTCCCAGCTCCCCTCTGAGCTCCTTTTTCCTGTTTGGCAGCCAATCTCCCACGAGGAACTCTACAAGCTCTCTAGTAGCTGTCTAATGCAAGCTAAATATATTAAGTCAATCTGTCTCCTGTTCACGAGGTCGACCTGAGTTAACCCCCTGGGGTTTCCTTTCTAATCCAGCTTTGTCCACAAATAGTCCATTCATCGCCAGCAGCATGGCTAGGCCCAGGCGCTTAGGAGAAGCCTGGTTCTCTGTGTGGACAGCTGCCGGTTCTCAGTCACACTGCTTGACCACAGGTCCTAAGCCTCGAGCAGGAAACCAGGACACCAAGACTTGTCCCTGGCCACCTGGCACAGTCCTGACAGATGGGGACATCTCCAGCCCACATGACCCAGGGGACTGCCTTTGTCCTGGCATTACATGACATGTTCACCCAAGCTTGTTTATTGTGTTGCCCCAGCCTTTGCCTCATCTGACCCCTTTTCAGATGACAATGTGAAGGCCCAAGGTGACTAGGAGTTCATGTATTATCATAATGTCCAGCCCAGTCCCCATCCACCCCACCTTGTCCCCATGAGAGCTGCTGAGTTCTTGCAGTCTCCTGTCTCCGCTTCTTTCGTGAATCAACAGCACCGAATCTCCTGTCTCAATACCATGGTCCCTGTGTCCATACTTTCACTGCCTGTGCTTTCTGTAGCCCATGGTCAACCAACTCTGAAAATGTGAGATGGAAAGTTCTAGAAGTAAATCATCCCTGGGCTTTCAGTTGTGTGCTGTTCTGACTGCTGTAATGGACTCTCACCCATCCTGCCCCTCCTGGAAGGACGGAGTCCTCCCAGCGTCCAGTACACCCTGGGCACACACTCCCTGCCATTGCCACTCAGGCCTCTGGGTCAAGAGACCTATCATTGAGCAACAAAGTGCTCATTTTCAGCGACCTTTCTTTTATCTAATAGTGTCCCAGCGCTACAGTGGCAATGTTGGTGACTTTGGCATTGATGGGAATCTATAAAGTGAGAATCTTTAAGAAAGAAGACAGCTGTGCTGATTAAAGAGAACAGTGAATCCAGAGCTCCATGCCATCTAGGGGTCAGGCGCCCCTGTGCCTGGGCTGGGGAAGGGCTCATGCTGTCTCAGTGTCTCCAATGACCAGCAGCAGCCCACAGACACCAGTGATGCTTGTGAGCCCTGCAGCCAGCAGGGGGCATCCAGGCACAGTACACCCCACTCACGGCAGCATTTTGTGTGCTCACAGCCTTCAAGGCAGCGGCCCTGATCCAGAGGTGGTACCGGCGCTATGTGGCCCGCCTGGAGATGCGGCGGCGCTATACCTGGAGCATCTTCCAGTCCATTGAGTACGCTGGACAGCAAGACCAGGGCCAGGTGTGGCCTGGCGGCACGTCTGCCTGCCTCCCAGCCTCGGGCATTAACTGGGACCCCTGCACCTTCCCACTTGCTTTCTAAAGCCAGGTCGCCTGCTTTCTCTGCAGCTGCATGAGTTCTTCAGTTACCTCGTGGATCACTTCACTCCCAGCAGTCACCATGAGCGTGAGTGTGACTGGCCTTGTCCTCCTGGCTCAAGGTCACAGGCATCAGGGAGGATGGGGACACAGGGTTGGATGGAGCCATGAATCCAGGATGAAGAAGTGGCAGATGGATCATAGTGTGGACGTCTATTCTGGGTCCTAAAACCACTCTTGGAGACTGTTTCAGTGCAAGGAGTTGATTAGCAAGTGCAGGGGACATGGGTGGGAGGAGTTGGGGAGGGATCAGAGGTGGGGTGCAGCAACAAGGGTGCACAAACCTGCCTCCAGATGTGGCAGGAAACTGGGAAGCCTGCCTCTGAATGGCACTGCTGCTGTCTAGGCACAGCAGCATCCCTATGTGTCAGCAGCTGTAGAGAGTGGGCTCCTCAGCCCAAGAACAAAGTCCCTGGGCTGGGAGGACACAGGTGGCTGGAGGTGCCGTGGCACTGTCCTGTGCTGCTCGTCCCAGCTTTATCCCCTCCCCTGCTCACAGCCCAGCCTTCCTCCTCCAATGCCCATTGGCCCATTGCATGCTCTCTCTCTCTCTGTCCTGGGTGCGATGCCAGCCAGACCTGTTCCCCACCACAGCCCCTCTGTCCAGCCCATGAGGGGCATGTCTGCCCACAGTTGGCCACCGCTTTGCCCATGCCAGGGGACCTTCTAAGCCGCATGCTAACGGAGCAGAGCCATCCCCAGGACTCGGAGCTGGAGGCCTGCAGTGACTACAAAGCCATCGAGGTGCCTGCCAACTACACAGGGCCGCGCCTGTCCTTCCCGCTGCTTCCTGGCCATGCCACTGCCCTGGTGGAAGCTTTCAGGCTGAAACAAGTGAGCTCAGGAGCCCAGCCCCACATGTGAGCAGCCCACACAGGAGGCTCCTGGCTTGGGCGTCCTAGGTTAACCAGAGTCACAGTGCCCTCAGCACGCCGGGGTCTCAGCAGGATCCCCCAGCCCCGACCTCTCTCTGTACATTCATCCTGCAGACACAGGCAGCCTCAACACCCATCTGGCCTGGGTCGGGGACACAGCCTGATGGGATGTGCAGGTCCCTGTCTGGGGCTGGCACTCAGGAGGGGAGGGAGACAGTAAGAAGTGATAGTAAACCAGAGCCCAGGAGACAAGGCCAGGCTAGGGGAGAAGAGCCTGAGCTTGGTGGGAGGGAAGTGCCAGAAGGTACTTCTGAGTGTAGGGGCCTGCTGGGGGAGGACAGGCCAGAGGGGTGGTTCAGCAAAGACTTTCCTGGACAGGCAGAACGTGGGAGGAGCTGGTGCCAAAGTCTGCTAGGCATTTCCATCCTGCAAAGCTGGAAGCCTCTGTGGCTGCACAGCAGGGAGCCAGGAAGAATAGAAGGGGTGACTTATTTTTCTGAATACAAGAGAAGCCCCTGGACCTTGAGCACAGGGATGGTGTGATCTGTCTTGCTTTTAAAATAATCATTCTGGTTACCATGCTAAGAAAAGTGTCAGCCAGGTTTAGTGATGCCTGCCTGTGATCCCAGTACTCTATGAGGCTGAGGCAGGAGGATCCAAGCCAAGCCCAGACCAGACAACGTAGTGACATAGCAGGATCCTGTCTCAAAGTAAAAAAATTAAAAGTCTGGGGCTGTAGCCGGGGACAAAGGCCTTGGATTCAATCCCCAATACCATGTAAAAATTTGACTAGAGTGTACAGCCAAGGGCTCCATGGTAGTGGTCCCAACGATTTGGAATGTGGATGAGAAAGGCAGAGGTGGTAGAAGTGGTCAGATTTGGGATCAGGGTCAGGTTCCCAGCCTCCCTCTCTCCCATGGGGAAACTCACAGCGAGAGGAGGAGGCTTTCAGTGTGGCAGGGCCACTCGCTCTCTCATCCACATGAAGTTCTCCCTGCTTGGGTGAGACAGCCATGATGAGCTCAGGACTGCGGGAGGTGGGGGGACAGCAGGGCAATGAAAAGCAGAAACAAGGGCAGTGTGGGTAAGAAAGAGAGGGTCCCTGCAGCATCCTGGGAGCCTTTCTCAGCCCCCCTGGGGTCACCGAGCAGGTTGGTGGCTGTCAGTGTCCTGTGTCCCCGGCTTCCTTCCCAGCAGCAGCTGCACGCTCACTATGTCCTGCATCTCCTGCACGAGACCAGGAAGCACCTGGCACAGCTGCCAAACATCACGCGGGTGTCCAGCTGCTACAGTGAGGAGCTCACAGTGTGTGGTAAGAGCCGGGCGGCAGCTGGAGGCTCTGTGTGGAGGGGCAGACGGGAGGGTGGCGAGCAGGCAGGTGGGTTCCACTGCTTCACTCCTGCTGGCACCCTGTGCCCCACACGGCGTAAACAGAGGGTCCAGGGAGGAGGCTAGGGCGGCTCAGCGATCCGTCCTGACTGAGCTCACACCCCAGCCATGTGGAAAGCCAGCCCTTCCTTGACGGACACCAGTTCACCTATCAGCATCGAGCAAGCCCCACCCCCACAGGGCACCTTGGCAGGAGTCCGGTTCCCAGCTGTGTTCCCTGTGCTTGTGTTTTCATGGATGGCCAGCCTCTGTGCACGTACACCAAGGCCCACACACCACACAGGGCCACACACAGCCCACACATGTCCTGTGTGTCATCTGTGACCTCAGACACTAAATGTCAATGTCCCAACATTTGGCAACGAGAGGACTTCACATTAAAGTCTAGGTTTGCAACTTCCCTTGAAATCTCAGCTAATGCTGGCCTCTATAACCAGAGCAGAGCACCCCCTTTCTTCATGTCTGTGGTGTTCTGTTCCTTGCTGCTGCAAAGGCAGGTCACTTGTTCTTTATGATGACCACACAGGAGCTGTGGTGCTTTTTGCAGCAAGGGTACGTTACTCAGCGTCCCTCTGTGATGCACTGGAAATCAGTAAGCCCTGGATTCTTTGTTGGGTTTTCCTAGTGCAGTGTTTCTCTCTTTTGTAAAAATTAGAAGTTAGAGTGATGACAGATCAGAACTGATACTCTTTCCCTTTGTTAGGAGACTTACACGGCCAGCTGGATGACTTAATTTTCATATTCTATAAGGTAAGAGTGTTTGCATTGAGTTCCTTTCTGTGAGGCTCAGTTTAGTTCGCAGTATGCAGTGAACAAATGCTTACATAGTGCAAGAATCGTTAAGCTATTATTATCAGAAATATTGCAATCATATGCAGACTGTAGAACAAACGTGAATATCATAATATGTTAATATGATATTGCTAGTTATATACACTATACTTCCCAAAACACTTCTCCATGTACTTTTTACTAATCCTGAGGAATCTGTGGTAGTAATTATTATTGTTAGAATTTTAATATGGTCAGAACTTAGAACTGGCCTTCACCTCACCATCCAGCACTTGTCCACACCCTTGATGACATTCTGGCTCGGCGTGGGCCTGTTCTCACAAGGATCTCAGAGCCTCTACCTGGCTGGGGGGACACAGTGCAGCGGATAACCTGTCACCCTGGCAGGAGAGCACATGTGGCCTGCGCCTGGCTCATGCTTAGATGCCCACTACTTTAACTGGGCTTTTCTCTCCTGCTGGCCTCCTCCACTGCCCTGTGTTGGGAAGAATGGCCTCCCGTCGCCAGAGCGGGCATACGTGTTCAACGGTGACTTCGTGGACCGAGGCCAGCACTCAGTAGAGATCCTAATGATTCTGTTCGCCTTCATGCTGGTTTACCCGAAAGAGGTCCATCTGAACCGAGGAAACCATGAGGACCACGTGGTGAACTTCCGGTACGAGCCCGGGCCTGCTGGGTGCGTCACGCCTGCTTGTGCCCCTTCCTAAAAAAGTGTTTTGCTGGGGTTTCTTGTCATAGATGCCTTTCAGAAGTAATTTTCTAATTTCTGAAAGTAGAATCCACAGTATGTAATATTCTTGCAGATTTTTAAAATTTTACAAATTATTCTGCTCTATAGTAAGACATTTTTTCACATGCACACTCCTTAGCATGTAAGAAATAAGGATTGGATTCACTCTAGAAAAAGTAGGGAAAGGGGATAAACAAAAAGAAGATGATTATAATGTCTCATAATTTTCTCTACCCAGAGATAGTTATAATTGTAAGTATTTTGATAATTATGCCTTAGTCTTTTTCTGAATCATTTACATATGTATAAACTTTGCATTTTATACTGTTTATTTTAATATCCATTTTTGCTTCTATGCCTAGATATGGCTTCACCAAGGAAGTGATGCATAAATATAAAGTAGGCTGCTTTCATCATTTTTTTTGGTGGGGGAGGGTGGGTTGAGATGGGGCCTTGCTATGTAGCCCAGGCTGGCCTCCAACTTAGAGTACTCCTCTTGCCTCAGCCTCCTGAGTGCTCAGATTACAACCACATCTGGCTACAATGTGCTTTTAGAAGAAGTTTCTCTTAGTTAAGAGAAGTTGAGTGCGTCATTGGAAGCCTATTATCTTATTATTAGCATATTTTCAGATACATGGGAAGAAAATATTAAGAACGCTTCAGGATGTATTCTGCTGGCTTCCACTGGCCACGCTGGTGGATGAGAAAGTCCTGATTCTTCATGGTGGAGTGTCGGACAGGACTGACCTGGAGCTTTTGGCCAAATTAGACAGACACAAGGTACAGAGGCGTGAAATAATGCAAGTCTTGCCTTAGTGTTGTGCTCACTGCCAGCATAAAACAGCTGTCTCCTGCCCGCTGAGTCTTGGAGCCTGAGGGGGGAGGAGAAGGACTGAGAGCCTGCAGTGGTAATGGAGAGTGATGTTGCCTGCACATGGGGACGGCAGCTGCCACCCCAAGGCAGAGCACCTGAATGGCTACACCTCATGATGTGCCCAAGAGCGGGGATTCTGGTACTAAGGAAGCCAGGGAGACAGCTGTGAATACAAGTGTGAGTCAGGGAGGCCACACTCGTGGTTTGTCCCTTTGGGTTCCCGATGTTCCATGCACTCCCCACTGAGCACCAGGCTCGTCTCTCCCCAGGCAGACTACTGGTACACTCCAGGTTTATCCTGTAATTGCTTCCAATTTTAAAGCCCAGCGTTCCTGAATGGATGCCCTAGTTACCAAATCTGGACCTGGCTCCTTGTCCTTTGACAGTTGAAAGATGCCATGTCTGTGTACACCCAGACTCAGCATTCAGAGAGGAGGCTAGCTCTTCAGCAGAGGTGAAAGAGCAGAGGGCTGTAACACTCAATGGCTCCCCCAAATCCTCTGCATCAAACCCTGTGTAGCTTGAAGCTTCCTGAGAAGCATGGGGCCGAAGGCCTAAACCCACTTCTGTGTTTCCCTTGTTAATTCTGTGTGTTGCCTGAAACCTAATTTGTTTTTAGGTTCCCCACTTATGTGGGGACCTCTTATGTCTTGGTGGTTGCTGACTTTGCCTACCCCAGGGGACCATTCCACAGGAGGGATCATGTTTGACAGTGAAAACACAGAAGCAGAGGAACTTAGGAAAATAATGTTGAAGAACTCTTTTTGTCGTTAAGCAGAAAATAAATTCCCTAAAATTTGGCTAAAAATTCTGGAGAGGAAGGAATGCAACTGCCCACATGGTCTAGGGCACCCCGAGGAGGAAGGCAGAGATGGCTGAGCCCAGAGTCAAGGGTCTCGATTCAGCCTCAGAAGAGTCTTTGAAGGCTTTAGAAGGTGCCTGCTGTGTTCCCCCAGCCTCTGTATCTGCTTTGGACACCTTTAGATCATATCCACCATGAGGCGCCCAACAGCGAGGGAACCCAAGAGCCAGGCAGAGATGCCCAGCACGCCCAGCACTGCACCAAGGCCTGCACAGAGACCCACACCCTGGTTCCTGCCCCAGAGCCGCTCACTCCCCTCCTCACCACTCCACCTCAGTCTGGACAGCAGGACACACAGGGCCAACAGGTCTTGCAGCGTCCCCTGCAGTGTCCCCCTGGCACCCCAGGAGCTGTCCCGGCGGGTGAGGCATTCTGTGGACTTAGAACTGGAGCTGTGCCGGCAGCGAGCAGGCTTCTCCAGGGTCCAGGAGCAGGAGGAGTTCTCACCTGCAGCCTCTGAAGGGGAGCCGGATGCTGGAGAGCCGCTGCAACCTACCCAGGAGGAGTGGCAGCAGGTGGGTGATGGCAGAGTTGCTGCCTAGAACAGGGCTTCATGGTGTATGGGGAAGGGATCAGGATGGCACACGATGGAACACAACGTCCTTTCTGTGTGCATTCAGGCACACACTCTGGGTCCTCTTTCTCATTCTCTGAGGTTGGGCCACCGCAGAAGGACATGAGTGTTTGTCCAGTGCAACCCATGTTGTAGAGTTGATAACAGATGGGAAGGTGTGGCAGGTGGCTCATTTGAGGGGATCTGTGGTTGATCACTTGGCACCTGTTGGGGAAGAAGGGCCAGGTCAACAGGTGCCACTGCAAGCCAGGCTTGTCCCTTGATCTAGCTCAAAGCCATGATGATGATTCAGCAGTGTCTCCCCTCTGTTACCAGGCAACTAAGAGCTTTCCCAGGAGCTTAGACCTGTGTCACATGGCTACTCCAAGCTGCAAGGGAGAAGGGAAAGTGTATTTAGCTCAGTGCATTGCTGCCCAGAACAGTGTCATTATGTTAGTGAGGAAAAAGATGGAGGAGAACAGATATGGGGGATGTTTTCCTCAGCTTGGCACAATGCCTGTCATACAGATGACTCTGACAGCCAGGTTGAAAGTTTAGCTGGGCAGAGAAGGGTGGCAGGATGGTGGCAGGGAGGCCCCTTGAAGAGCTGTTGCAGAGACCCTGAGCAGAGGGGAAGGTGGTCTCTGCCATGGTTTGACCTACTGGTTCATCCAGGAGAGAGAATTCAGATATTTTTAAAGAGTGAAACTCAGCAGAACTAGGTAATTCATTTGATGGAGGGTGGTGAGAGAAGAGCAGTTAAAGCAGACTTTGAGCTAGAAGATAAGGTTGGCAGCGGGAGACAGACAGACAGACAGAGACAGAGACAGAGACAGAGACAGAGACAGAGACAGAGACAGAGACAGAGTTTAGGCCTCATGCTTCCCAAAACTGATCTGGACTTCAGTACCACTTAATTTTTTGGGGGGGAATATATTATTTATTTTAATTATCTACAGTGTCAGTGATCTTCAGTCACTGCCTTTATCAACTATTCAAGTTTGTAATAGAATACAGGGCATGTGGTACATTCTAGAAGGCTGGGAAATCCAAAGTTGGGGCCCAGCCTGGGTGAATTATTGAGGCTCTGTTTCAAGATAAAAAAGTGGAGAGATGGGGGGAAGTGGGAAGAGGTAGCTGGGAATGCAGCCTAGTGCAAAGGTCCTAGGTTCAACAAGGATTATATATACGAAATCTCTCTGGAAAAACCAACTCTCAGGATTTTTTGTTGTTGTTGTTCAACACCACTTAAAATCAAAATTTTATTTTATTTTAAACATTTTTATTTATTTATTTATTTATTTATTTATTTATTTATTTATTTATTATGTGTGGGTGTGTGTGGCCAGCTCAGCCCACCAGGAGCGGGGCTGGCTGGCATGGGGTGCTGGGGGATTGAACCTCGGTCCCTGTGCTTTGCTTAGCTTAGCTTCTTCTAGGTAGGTGCTTTAGACCACTGAGCCATCTCACCAGCCCCAAAATCAAAATTTTAAAACACAGTTCTCTTGTTTTGCAAAACATGACTCAGTAGTCACATGCTGATGTTCATAAATCAAATGCAGCACATTCTGAAACTATCTGGTGTCACCAATCACAACACACTCAATACATCTGAGCTGTATAAGAGTAGCAATCAGCACTTCCCTAATATCAACAATAGAAAGAGTCTAGACTCCTGGAAATTGCTCGACTCCTCTGCAAATTCTCTTTAAAAATTCTCAAATTACCTCAAGAACTAAAATGTTGATGTGCTTTCCTGTGACCACATGTGTGTGTGGTGCTCGCCTGCCCACTGGCCTGGGATTCCTGTCCAGCCACATCTGCACCCAGAACCATCTCATGTCTTCCCACACTGACCTTGCATATAAGGGTTTTTTTTTCCCAGAAAGTGGGTGTATACTCCTCCACCAACATACTCCCCCACATACTCGTTTTGTGAGTAATAACAGATTCTGGAAAACTCAAACTTGATTACATGGAAATGGATTCACTTATTTTTCTTCAGATATTTTCCTCCTTCTCCCCCTCCTCCTCCTGCTCCTCTTGTCATTCCATGTGGATGACTGAGAAGGACCTGGTATCTGCCTCTTGGTCCCCAGGTGGTAGACATCCTGTGGAGTGACCCCATGCTGCAGGAGGGCTGCAAGGCCAACACTGTCCGTGGAGGAGGCTGTTACTTTGGGCCTGACGTGACCGGGCAGTTGATGCAGAAATACAACCTGCAGCTCCTGATCCGGTCCCATGAGTGCAAACCTGAAGGCTATGAATTCTGCCACAATCGCAAGGTGGGTGGGCCCTCACAGTGGTGCTGGTGGGTGAATGAGTCTCTCTCAGCCTGGGAGAGCTGAGCCTGTAGGTTTCTAACAACCAGGTGTGCTGTATACTTGTTACCCACTTGCTCAAAGTACCTCAGTCCTTTCTGACCTCTCTGAAACTCAGTTTGATTGAAATCACTGGTCTACAATCCACTAAGGGCAAAGGGCACATGCTGTCCCATTCTGAGCACTGAAACAGGAGGCCAGTGTTTCCCCAGCCACACCTCTGTTGTTTAAATCCATGGCTTTTAGACCCATGTCCTAAGCAACACTATAGTTTTGGATTCATGCACTGTCCAGCAGGGACTTAGCATTGTTTCTTTTCTTGTGAGTATAATTAATCTCATGACTAAACTCTGATGTATCCAAATCCTGTAATATTTGCCTCAATTCATGCCCTGGGATAGGATTCTGTATGCCCAGGAATACTAATTTTACAGGAAAAAACATATTTCTGTGGAAAATAAGGATTAAGGTAAGTAATCTATTTACCCTGGAAGCCTCTTGCCCTGGGCACCCCCAGGGGACCCAGTCTGTGGGGAACCCTGGTCTGAGACACAACTCCCAGCCTGGCACAGCCACCCATGTCTAAGAAGAATGAAGATGTTTTCCATGACCCCTACCATTTTTATTTGGAATCAGAATGTGAAAAACTGCTATGAATGTCCTATCAGGATTCAAATGTCTATGGTTCAAACCAACGACTCCTGCCCTAGTAACACTGATGACTTCAAAAAAAGTGGTTTTTTTTTGTTGTTGTTGTTGTTTGTTGTTGTTTTTGTTGTTTTGAGACAAGGTCTTGCTGTGCTACCCTTGTACTCACTTTTGTACCCCCCAGACTGGTCTCAATCCTCCTGTCTCAACCTCCCAAGTGCTGAGATTATAGGTATGCACAACCATACCCAGGGGTAGATGACTTCAAAATTTAAAAGGAAGGCAAAAGGCTGGGCGTGGTACTATGCTCCCAGCACTCAGGAGGCAGGGGCAGGAGCATCATTATGAGTTTGAGACAAGCCTGGGTTACAAAGTGTGCTCAAGGACAGCCTGAATTGCATAGAGAGACTGGCTATTTAAAAAGAAAGAAAGAAAGAAAGAAAGAAAGAAAGAAAGAAAGAAAGAAAGAAAGAAAGAAAGAAAGAAAGAAAAGAAAAGAAGGAAAGGACCCCCAGACTAGTGTAAAGAGGAGCAGCAGGTCTGATAAAAGTTTGGGCCATGTTGGGCTAGAGACGAAGGGCTGTTCAGAGAATGTGAATGCTTTCTCTTTTCTGTTGGATCCAGGTGCTAACCATCTTCTCTGCCTCCAACTACTATGAAGTTGGCAGTAACAGAGGGGCCTATGTCAAGCTGGGGCCAGCCCTGACCCCACACATCGTGCAGTATCAAGCCAACAAGGCAACCCACATGCTCACCATGAGGCAAAGGCAAGACTTTACAATGATTGGTTTTCAGGAAAAAGTTATATTGGTTGTAAAAATGTTGAGGCTTCAAATGTCATTACATTTATCCCAATCTGTGTGAGAATTCAGAATGTAGCCAAGTCAGCACCAAAGTCTAGAATCAACATAGATGTCTTATACTAATCTATTGTTGTGTAACTAAAATGGAATACGTAAGGCAATCTATTTACAAAGAAAAGACCCTGGGGGCTGGTGAGATGGCTCAGTGGTCTAAAGCACCTACTTAGAACGAGCTTAGCAAAGCACAGGGACCGCGGTTCAATCCCCCAGCACCACATGCCAGCCAGCCCCACCCCCTGGTGGGCTGAGCTGGCCACACACACACACACACACACACACACAAAAAAATTTAAAAAAAAAAAGACCCTTTTTGAGCACACAGTGTAGGAGGCTGGAAGTTCAAGATCGGGTGGCCCCTTTAGCTCAACCACTGGTGAGGACCTCAGAGTGTGAGAAGAAAAGAAAACATTTTGAGACAGAAAGCCAGGTCAAGAGGGAGTTTCCAGGCCCACTCAGTTCATGTCAGCTTCTCCTGAGGGCTCTGGGTCTCACAGATCCCTTTCCAGGGCAGACACTCCCCCTAGAACTGAGGCCTTTGTGTAACCCCCTCTTCTCAAAAGTCGAAGGCCCCCCTTTGAGGACCTGGACTTTGGAGGACAAAAGAGACATAGACCTCCTTACAAATTTTCTCCCCACACGCTTCCTTTACCTACACTCCTAGCTCCATTCCTTACTGTGTGAACAGAAGCAGGAATCTCAGCGAGGACCTCTCTCAGGTGAAGTCCATGTATTAGGCACTAAGTCTTTCTAAGATTCCTTTTCTGTTTTCTTTTATCCACAAAAGTTTTGTGGCACTCCCCAGCAGCCACAGCCCAAGGTCCGGTCACTGTCTGGGGACTTAGGATAGATTTCAGAGCACACATTTGTTTAAAATGGCTCTTTCTTTTTGAGCAGAAACATGTAGCATTGCTTTTTTTTTTTTTTTTTTTTTCGGAACTGGGGATTGAACTCAGGCCCTTATGCTTGCCAGGGAAGTGCTTATTCCACTGAAGCCATCTCCCCTGCCCCTATTTTTTTTTTTCCTTTTCTTTTTTCTTTTTTCTTTTTTTTTTTTTTTTTTTTTTTTTTTAGGGAAGGGTGTACAGGGTGTTCAGGGTCTCACTACTAGATTGGACAGGTAGTGATCCACCTGTTTACAGCCTCCCAAGGGCATGAATTACAAGCACATGCCACCACACCCAGTCTCAACTGCTCTCTCATCACACCCCTGGGGCAGGGCCAGCACAGCAGGCTCGGGGATTGAACCCCCAGCCCCTGTGCCTTCTTGCAGGCACTTTAATCCACTGAGCTATTTGACTAGCCCAAGTATTGCTACTTAAATGGTGTCTATTGAGATGATTCTCAGTTTTCGTCTTAACTCTGCTTGTTGTTATAAAGAGGTCATGTATGTGATCTATCTCACAAGGCATGTGTGAAATAGACATCATTGTTAATTTCAGGCTGATAGATGAGGTCTCTCAGAACAGAGAATAAAGCAGCTGGCCAGTGGCCACACAGCCAGTGAATAGTGAAGGTTGGCAGGCTTGGCCCTGATGACCTATTCAAGTCCAGGATATTGGATATCTGTCTAATATCACCTCCTAAGGAGGATAGCACCTTGGGCATATAAGGGGCTCGTAGATATAGATTACTGAATAAGCATCTGTTGGTTACTTTTCACTCATTGCAGGGACAAAATGCCTAATACCCAAAATTAAGGGAAGGAAAGGTTTATTTAGCTCACAGCTAGTGGAGATTTCAGTCCATACTCGGCTGGCTCCAAGGCTTGGTAGCACATGGAAGAGGGAAGCTGTTCCTCGTGGTGGAAAACAGCAAAGAGCAAAGGGAGGAGCAGCAGCTACAGCTTCTAGCAAGCCTCTCTCCCTTCCTTCCACACTGACTGCAAAGACTGGAGTTCCTCTGAGGACGTGGAACACTCCATCCTTCCTCAATTCCCTTTTATATCCCTTAAATTGTGAGTCACTCCAGGGTGAGGCCTCCATGCCCTAGGGTGTGGAATTGTAGAGCAGATTTAGTTAAGCTTTTAACTTCTCAAGTTAACACAATTTATCAACCACTATAGCATCTTAATTATCCAGCCTCACTAAGTTAAAAATTAGAGTGGACAAGGTCATCATCAATTAAGTGGAGAGAAAACATATTTACCTTACACATTTACTTGTGCAAGATAAATGTAATAAATGTGCAAATAATCCACTGGATTATTTTAAATCACTGGATTATTTTAAATTACCAAGTAACCCAATGGATTATTTTAAATCACCTTAAGTGATTAAATATAGAAAGTATTACAAAAAAAAGTATAAACTCACCAAGAAAAAAATCAAACCTGCTGTGTAGCAAAATCATCTGTGGAGCTTTATAAAAGCCAACAACTGATTGTCCCTCAGCCCTGTTGAGCCAGAGCCTCCAGATTAGGACTCAGGTGTTGTCCTTACAAAGGCAACCACTGTAGGAGTCCTGTGATAAGATAAAGAGCAGCTCTTTGAAAGATTCAGTCTTGTACCAAATAAGCACAACAGGGCCTTGTTCTCCAGAAATCTCCTTTGTAGTACACTAACTGTCTAGGGTGTGGAGTCTGAGAAACATGGGAGCTGTAGTTGGGTCCCATTGTCACAAGCTCTGACATGATTTCCTCAGAGGCCTCCTCCTTGTGAGGCCATTACTTCCTGCTCAGATCTCTTTTCCCAAGACCCACACAGCCCTCTGGGACCCGGCTGTCCAGGTGATATCAATGACCGTGTTTTTGAGGAATTAAGAAGGGAGCCCATGTAGAGTCCCACAGTGGCAGAATCGGTGTGGCTAGATGGTGGGAACAGAGAGCCTCATCCAGGGATGGCTTCTGAGGACGCTGCCTCCCTCTGCCCCACAGACCTGTTCATGCAAGCAGATGAAGTGCTTTGCCTAACATTTATCTCTTATTCATTCAACCTTGGACTTTTATGGAGCACTTCTTTTGGGTCGAGAACCGTGCCTAGTATTATTTTAATGATCCCATAAGAATGGGAAAACTTGGGCTGGGGTGATAGTGTAGTGGTCTAAGCACCTTCAGTCCCCAGTACTGCATGCTGTGCAGGCCCCAAAACCAGGCATGGTGGCGCCTGCCTGCAATCCCAGTGCCTGAGAGGATCATATGAGTCTGAACTGCATAGCAAGGCTGTGCCCAATAAAAAAGGGGGGCAGACTAAATTAGTTCATTACTCCTTATTCATAAATCTTGCCTTCAGAGTACTTAAAGCATAGTAAGGTGTACCAGACACATGAGGTTCTGACAAGGAATCCTCCGTGCTGCATGCATTCTCTGTGCCAGGCCTTCTGCTCACTCTGGATCACTTTCGCTGCATGGCATTCCCACTCAGTCAATGCCATTTGCCTCCTCCCTCTTTAAAAGATACAGGCATCGAAGCATAGGCTGTTTAGAAAGCTTCACCAAAGGCATGATCGTCCTCCAGAACTGCTCACATCACTGTCCCATCCTGGGAAGGATGACTGGGGAGCAGGCAGTTGGACAGACAGCAGGTGGGACAAAGACAGCAGAGCCAGAGGAGGGAGTTTCACCCTGCGCGCACACAGCTCACTCTCTCAGGTCCCAGTGCTGTGTGTGGAGCAATAAGAGGTGGAGCCAAGTTCTCAAACACTGGGGTCATGGCCAGGGTTCACAAGTTCCAGCCAGCCTGGACAGCTTAGTGACTTGGGAAGATCATGTCTTAAAACAAGAAATAAAAGCCAAAGGGCAAGGGGTAGAGCTCTGTGTGAAGGCCTGGAATCAATCCCCACTACCACCAAAACCAAAGCAAACAAAAAACCCAACAGAACAAAACTGAGTTCGCAGGGGGCTGAGATGGTAAATCAGAAATGTTGTGAGGGGCTGCGGAGATAGCTCAGTGGTCTAAGCACCTGCCTGGCAAGTGCAAGGACCCAAGTTTGATCTCCAGTACTGCATGCTGTGCTATCCCCAGAACCCAAGGCCTGCAGTCCTGAAACTGGGCGTGGTAGCGCACACCTGTAATCCCAGCGCTGGGGAGGCTGAGGCAGGAGAATCACTGAGTCTGAACTGCATAGTGAGACCCGGTACCAATAGAATAAAAATTAAAATTAAAAAAATAAACATTGGAAGGCCCATGGCTGCTGCTTCTAACCACCCTCCGCTGCCTCCTCTCCACCCCTGGCCCAGGGTCAGCAGAGTGGAGCAGTCTGCGCTGAGAGCGCTGCGAGAAAAGCTGTTTGCCCATTCCTCAGACCTCCTCCAGGAATTCAAGAAGCACGACTCAGGCAGAACTGGTAAGAGTGGAGGGAAGGAGCCCCGTGGGAGGGATCCAGCTGGAACAGTTCTTACACTCAGCAGTTAGCGACTAACAAAATATTTGTTAAGTAATAAAAATCTTTGACTTCTTTCATCATATTCAACTTGAGATCTCATGTATTTCTTTCCAAATTTTGACATTCTAAGCTCTTAACAAAATATGAACCCGGCCAAGTACAGACAGATGTGGGAAAAAGAAACAGAGTTGTGGAGAAGGAAGGGCAACAAGGACAGAGCTAAGCAGCAGACAGGTGCAGGAAGTCACAGGAGTGCAGCTCAGACTCCCGGAACATCGGCTGCTTACCTTCACCTTTGAGTGTGAGCTGGCCTGTTCCCAATTCTATCTCACACACTAAATGCTTTGTCTTTTGCCAGGTGTGGTGGTGCACAGCTATAACCTAGATAGTTGGGAGGCTGAGGCAGGAGGATCTCCAATTGGAGGCCAGCCTGGGCAACTTGACAGGACCTTGTCTTAACATTAAACAAAGAAGGACTAGGAATATAGCTCAGTGGTGGAGTCTCTGGGTTCCAGCTCTACCACTGGGGGTCTCATCCTCCCATCCCCCAAAAAAGAACAACTCTTTGTGCTCTTTTTAATGGACTATCTAAAGAACTTTAACCAACCACAGCTCTATCAAAAATAGCAGTGATATTTACAGCTTCATAGAGAGATCGTTTCCAGTACACTCGTAGTCTTCCCAGTATTCCAGTGAATAATACACTCTCGGGAACTTGGATTTTTTTTTAAAGCAACTAATGCTGTATAACATATATACAATATTTTATGATCATATTTACTTATAAAAGTCTTGTATGGCTTCTAGTTGTGTTGAGTTTAATAATAATAATAATAATAATAATAATAATAATAATAAAAGAATCAAGAGTACCTATATAGGCAACAAACGCTTTTATATAATATTTGGCAAGCAGTAAGTGTACTTACTTGTTGTCTGTCTACTGTTTACAATGACTAGCCATACTGTGTTTTATTTGGCAAGCTGGTTTCCAGTCAGCTCTGCCACGACCAACAAAAATTACAACAGTGCCCATCATCATCATCATCAGTTTGCTGAGACAGGGTCTTGCTCTGTAGCCCAGGCTGGCCTTGAACTCACAGCAATTCTCCTGCCTCAGCTTCTGAAGAGCAGGGATTACCCACCACACCTGGCTTCATGCCCGTGCTTCCTAGCACCTGTCAAGATCACGTGTGCATTAGATGGGGGCAGCTAGAGCTACAGGTGGCGGGCAGACACGTGGGGCCTCCCCACAGGTGTAATCAGCCTGAACGACTGGGCCGTGGCCGTGGAGGCCGTGCTGCACCTGGGGCTGCCATGGCGGGTGCTGAGGCCGCAGCTGGTGAGCAGCAGCGTGGGCAGCTCTCTGGAGTACTCGGCCTGGCTGGAGGACTTGGCCAAGGACTGGCCCAGCCGTGAGGTGAGCTCTCACTGTGTGCTTTGTTTGTGACAGCTTCGCCTTAGAGCTAGGAGGCAGCTGGGGCCTGCCAGGATGGCTCTCTGTGGCTTTTGTTCTCTTTCTTTCTGTTTGCAGTACATCATGGTCACTTTCCTCATGGGGAGCTGGTACAGGCCTGTAACACATCTTAAATCTTTTTACCTCCCCCGCTCCTCCCTCTGTGCTCCCTCCATCTCTGGGTCTCCTTCCAATATGCCAAAGATCTATCTCCCGGTTTCCCATTATCTATCTATCTATCTATCTATCTTTCTTTCTTTCATTTATTTATTTATTTATTTATTTATTTATTTATTTATTTATTTGTGGCAGAACTGGGGATTGAATTCAGGCCCTTGTGCTTACCAGGCAAGAGCTTATTCTACTGAGCATCTCCCCTGCCTCTATCGTTTATTTTGCTTTTTCATTTCTTTACACTTTGGATTTCTATGATGTGATTCTTAAGCTTGGGTGTCTGATTTATTTCATCTAACGTTATGGTCTTGAGGAGCATCCGTTTTCCTACAAAGGACTCAAGTTTATCCTTCATGGCAGAGCAGCGCTGCACTGTGCCTAAATACCGCATTTTCTTTATCCGCTCTTCTGCTGATGGCTGCTCTCGAGACTCAGCTGCTGTGCACCCTACTGCTATAGACATGGGTGTGCATGGATCCCTATAACACAATGTCTCTTACTCTTTGGGGAGGACACCTAGAAAGGGACTGTCTTGTGGCTTCCTGTGTGTCCAGCTGTGCCCGGTGTTGTTCTGCATTGCCTCAGGTAACCTCAAGCAGGTAGGCACTGAGGTCACTCTGAGGCCTAGAAGCCCTCCAGTCTGGGCTGGGCTGCAGCTCAGCAGGGCCCTGTGTCACACCCAGGCCTGGCTTCAGCCCAGCATCACAGCACAGCCAAGCACACTCCAGTCTCAGTGACGCGAGGGTCATTTTATTCCACACCACTGTGCTGTGTCCCCTATTTATAAAGTATTAAGTCAGTAAATGGGAACCTCCGTGAAATTTAGGATTAGGTACTTTTGAAAGCAATCTTATTGCATTATACTTCCCACCTACATAATTCATCCACATAAAGTCTGCAATTCAATGGGTCTTAGCACACATGCATCCCTCAGGCTGGAGTAGGGGCTTTACTGAGACCCCCGCAGAAGCAGCGATCTATGGTTGCTCAGATCCTCAAAACAAAGTGGTGCAGTATTTCCATAAAACCTAAGTATACCCTTACATGGTTTGCAATACTTGGAGTGCCTGATGCCATGTAAACCCTAAAGAAATGGCAGTTACACTGTTGCGTGTGGTAACTCAGGATGCGGAAAGTGATGCGGGCACACTCACTGCACACACAGCGTGTCCCTGATGCATTTCCTCCTGGCTGGTTGACTCCATGGTGCTGAGCTGGTGTACTGGTACAGCTGCTTCGAGCATTGCAGCCTGGGCAGCGTGCCTTTGGGACCACTGGACTAAGGGGTCAGGAGGGCAGGGAAATGGTAAAGGAGTGGCTGGGTTTTCAAGAGTGTATGGGTACGAGAGTGGCTTTGTATCAACTATCTATTAGAATAAGGCTAAACATAAAAGGAACATGTTTCATTCTTCTAGAACATACAATCAAGTTTGCTGGAAACCCTGTACCGAAACAGATCCAACCTGGAGACCATTTTTAGGATCATAGACAGTGATCATTCAGGTAAAGAAATATTTTACATGGAACCTTTTGCTCTTCTTCCCTGTCCCATCTGTTCCTCTCTACTCAAGCCTAATGGGGACAAAGAAAGCAGCACCAGTTTTTAATGGCACACACTACAAAAGTACATAAGCAATTCAAGGAGCCTACGTGGCTACTCTGCAGGCTGATGTAGGAGGAGCTCATGAGCCCAGGAGTTTAGGGCTGACCTGGGCGAGACAGTGAGATCCTGTCTCAAAAACAACAACAGTGAAAGGAAGCCTACCCAGAAAGGCTTGGGGCAGGGAAGCATGAAGACAGACGGGACAAAGGTTGTTTCTTGAGGCAGAGTTGTTAGACATGCTGTCCCTACAGCTCCATCAAAGCTTGCACTGAAGTAATGAAGAGATGGAAAGCAGAAGGTCCTCATAATCTCATTCCATATATATATAATCTTTTCGTGTTACCCCTGCGGTCCAAAGATGCTTTGCAATAGCTAAATCTTTTAAAGGTTTGATTCACATACTATGTAATTCACCTATCCAAAGCAGGTGGTTGAATGATCTCTATAGATTCAGCAGGTTGTGGGGACATCACCACTGCTTTATCTGAGGACACGTTTGTCACTCCCTCCACCCCCCACTGCCTGTCTCTGTGGACTGCCCTGCCCTGCCCTGCCCTGGTGAGGATGGTACCCCTGTTCCCAGCCCTTCTGTGCCAGCTGGAGCCTCTCAGTGCAGTGTCTGTAACCACATCTGCGTTGCTGCAGTGTTCACTCCTTATTTCTTTCTCGGGTTTGGATAGGCCATATCTTGCTCATCCAAAATAAATAAAATGTTTTATGATTGACAGCATAAAATCAGTTTATAGTAGATGTTTGGTAGGCAGTTAATAGATACCACGACCAGTTTTGCTACAGATGCTCGCCTACACCTTTTGGCGTGGAAGCGAACTTTCAGTTCTCTTGGCAGCTGCCACAGAGGCAGCAGCTGGGTGGCAGGGTAGTTCCAGCCTTCCATGGGGCTGGCCTGCCTTGCAGAGTGGCTGCACCTGATCACGCCCGCCCCCAGCAAGGAGCATGAGGTTTCTGGTTTGCCATCTCTTATCCACTCTTCCTGTTTTCTGTTTCCGTCTTCCAAAAAAAAGAAAAAAAATTTTTTTTTTAATTATGGGAATCCTGGGCTGGAAAGATAGCTCAACAACATAGGCACCTGCCTGGCAAATGCAAGGTCTTGAGTTCTATCTCCAATACAAAATATATATATATATATATATATATATATATATATATATATATAGCCAAATTATGGCCATCCTGTTAGGTGTGAAGTATCACTTTATGGTTTTACTTCACATATCCCTAATTATTAATGATACTTTTCGTGTGATTACTGGGCATTTATACTATATCTTTTTTAGAGAAACATTTATTCAAATTTATGGCCCATTTTCTAAGTGAGTTGTCTTTGCATTTGAGTTGTAGAAATAAAGGTATATTCTGGATACTAGATATATACCTTACAAATATTTTCTGATTTTGTGGATTTTCTCTTTAATGCACAACAGTTTTTAATTTAGAAAAATTCAATTTATTTTTTCTTGTTATTTTCTCTTTTGGTACCATATCTAAGAAATTGATGCATAAGTCAGTATCACAGGTGTTTAGAATAGTGTTTGAAGAGTTTTATAGTTTTTATCTTATATTTTGGGTTTTCATCCATATAGTTAATTTTTGTACCTAGTATGTGGTGAGTATTCCAACCTCATTCTTTTGCATGTGGATATCTACTCCTACATCATTATTGAAAAAACATTTTTCCTACTAATTGATGCTGGAACTTTTGTAAAAAGAAAAAAAAATGAGTTGACCTGGCTGGGGACATAGCTCAGTGTTGCTTGCCTAGCATGCATAAATTCCTGGCCTTGATTCCTAGCACTTAAATAAACAAACAAACAAATTGACAATAGATAAATAGATTCAAAGGCTTTTCTTCCAACATGAAATTTATTATATTGCCAAGACTGGCCTCAAGCTCCTGGGGTCAAGCAAATCCTTCTGCTTCAGCCTCCTCAGTAGCTGGCATTATGCTTGGATGCCACCATGACTGATTTAAAGGCCTTCTATAAGCAGAATAAACTTGTATGTGTTTGGGATGATTTAATGTAAGGCTTCTCCAAAGTGGTACTGCTGATGTTTGGGGCTGGATAATCAATTCTGGGGTGTCTGGGTCACCTCTGCATTGGGGATGGACATATCCCTGCTCTGTATCTACCAGTGCCAGTAGACATCATGTTCATGACAATAAACAGTGTCTGCAGATGATGCCAGATGTCCCTGGGTGGGGTGGGAATGAAACACAGCTTCTCCAGGTGGGGATTACATGTGACCTGCAGTGTCCTACAATCCTCTTAGGGGCACACGGTTGTGAGGCCTTGGGGTTCCATGTGCTCAGCAGCAGGGAGTAGGTATCCCAGTAGGGATGTCAGAGGAAACGCACCCAGAGGGCAAGCAGGATCATGCAGACAAACTCTTCCCTGCCAGGGTTCATCTCCCTGGACGAGCTCAGGCAGGCTTGGAAGCTGTTCAGCTCACACATGGGCATTCTTGGCACCGATGACTGCATCTGTGACCTGGCCCGGAGCATTGACTTCAACAAAGATGGCCGCATCGACATCAACGAGTTCCTGGAGGCCTTCCGCTTGGTGGAGCAGTCCTGCTTGGGGGACACAGCCTGCAGCTACACAGCAGCCTCAGCACACCCTGACAGCCCAGGTCCCCTCTGATCTCCAGAGTTGTACCAGCCTGCTGGAACTTGAGCCTGCTATCACAGTGCATGAGGGTCATCTTGCACTTGGATATGGAAAGATAGACTCTGTGTGTGTGTGTGTGTGTGTGTGTGTGTGTGCGCGCGTGCGCACGCGCGCAGGTGCTTTTTGTTATAGTGGCCCAACTCCACCTTAGATATAAGTCTACTCCAATTAAGAGCCACTGATAATCCTGCCCCTTTATTGTTTTCATTTTGTACCTTTGTTTGGGAAGGAGAGAGTGATAAGGACTTAAATCCCATAGTTGTTTTGCATATATTTTTCTTTAAAATTCTAAGATGAATATTTGTTTATTTGATAGGAAATGATTTAATATCTAAGAGACAAGCAATACTGACATCTGATGGAGAACAATAAATTCACCTTTTATTAATCATAAAAACTTGAGGCCATTCTTATCTTTAGCATCTCTTACTGCAACTTGTGTTTTTCATGAAGGCGAAGTGTGCTTGACGCATCCTTTGTACCACTGTGTGGCTGATGCTGTCCCCTCTAGCCGACCTTCAGGACTCTATGTCATGCTCTGAGATGTGCACCCTGGAGGGGGGATGTGGAGGGAGAGGCTGCATTGGAAAGTTTTCCGCCCCCCGATTGCCAGTGGACTATGTTCTGGCTTAGCTCACCCCACACTTCTAAAACACAATAATGCACAGGTGACCCCAACATTTAGTCCTCACTTCCTTCACAGATTTTCAACTATACACATAATGGTAAGTTCTTCTCCTTCTGACTCTCAAGTCTGAGTGCTTGCAGTGCAGGTGGTTCACAGGGATGCAGTGTGGACAGCTTGGTGCTCTCTGTCGCTGGCAGGGCACCTACAAACTCCAGCACCCGGTCTGGTGTTGTTTGATCCAATGTGTAAGTTCTCTCTGAGGCCAGTTAGTGACTTCTCCTGTTGTGTCCCATTGACTGTAGAGGTTTTCACAACTTTGTGTGGACATCAGGGTTAGAATGCTGATAAGAACATTGTCAAAACCAACTCTGAACAAAAGCTATGGAAACAGACTGCAGAGACCATAACTCACATGCACAGCGCCCACGGCTTCCGCCTCAGAATCGAACACTTCAAGGACCTATTTTCTTAGATAAGTGTTCATAGAAATGATGCAACATGTCACAAGCAGCCTTTTTAAAAGATTAAAAATAGTCCCCATAGGATTTAACTGACCTTGTCAGATAGCAAAAGTTACCTTTTTAGTTATATAGATCTTGCTTTAACTTGGTCTTAACCATACAGCAGAAAACTGTAACCACAAGGTATAAAAAGTAAAGCTATATTAATATGCTGAGCTATAAAAAGTTCAAGTCAACAACTTCAGACAATTGCCAGTTGTGCTGATAACACACTAGTATTATGGACTATTGGACTATATTGGGTTATTTTGCTGAATTCAAGTACCTACAGTACTTTTGGTCTGGCATCAAATATGAAAAGGTCCTTTAAAGACTTCTCCAAATGAAATTTCTCTAACTACAATGGAACACCCATCTCTGACAAAACAAAACAAAAAAAGAGGATATAAATAAAGGACTATTTT